TCGGCAAAATTTTCGAGAGGTATGAAAATTTGTTACTTGGCAATTTCGCGAATAATAAGCGAAATTGCCGAAAAGCAACAAACTTGAATAAAACCTTGAGAACAATTTTGCCTACACAATTTTTTCTCGAGTAGTATTCGTCATGACTATTTTCACGTAAGATTTTGAAAATAAATAGAATGCAAAAATATGAATAAAAACTTCAAATTAAAAATATCAGTTTGACAATGTCAAAAAATGGTCGCTGAAATACGAAGTTGTTGGTATTGTCCAGGTAGCAATATTGTCAGCTAAATACCGAATTTATTGCCGGTGTAATACACTCTAGTGAAATAGTCAGTTGCATATCATTTTGAGGAAGACGAAACACTCGTTCTTCTGGAAACGCTGCTCCCCTGTTTCAAGAATAAGGACCCAGGGTACTGTCCAGTTCCTTCATCCGTAAAGCGTTTTTTTGGACTTCCTCCTTATCGGCTAGTAGTTTGCTGTAGGGGTTGTCCTTGTCGATGATTGCTATTATTGCTACTCTCAGCATCGTAAAAATTACTGTCACGGATTCCGGGTTAACTAAACTCACTTCACCACAAACAGTAACAACTTTTGAAACAAATTGACTTTATACAGGGTGTATATTTTAAGTGATACCTCTATTACTATATCCGAAACGGTAAGAGCTACAAGGTCGGTTAAATTACAGGTCCGTAATAAAAAAAATGAAGTTGATGATGGTAGCTCGATTACGAAACATTGGATTTAAAATTTGATGACACCATGTTGTAGAGTGAGAAAAATTAAAAAACTTTCAAATTTAAATTGTGTCTCGAAAATCAATAGTTTTCAAAATAATTGATGAAATAATTTTGGGCGTTTCTTAGAAATCACCCTGTATTTCATAAACTAAAAAGAATTTGGCAACACTGTAAACGAGTCTTAAATGGGCATCAAAAAACGCAACTTTTTCCTAATTTAACCGACCTTGTAGCTCTTACCGTTTCGGATATAGCAATAGTGGTATCACTTAAAATATACACCCTGTATAAACTACACGTATCAGTTATCGGAACGTACTGTAGTATAACATATCCGGGTTCGTTCAGCAAGATTGAATGATGAATTTTTATTATCCTTTAAACAACAAATCTTCTGAGAAAAAAAGAAAAACAAATAGAACCTAATAATAATATTAATAATAATAATAAATTGGTTTATTTTCAAACGTCATATTACAGTAATTTTTGTGATCATTTTGACAAGGTATAGGTGTCACTTCAATGACTTTCAGCTTGAGCGGCGTATAAGTGTTTTATTTTCAATCATATATGAAATGTTGTCATTACTGACTTTTAAAAAATTTGAAAATGTTACATTTCTGTCTTTTCATTTTCCTGCTCCATTACCTGTCCCAGGACGGGAAATGAGGACGGGAAATGAGGACGGGAAATTTTTTCCGTCCTCATTTCCCGTCCACGGACAGAAAATGCAGCAGGGAAATATTTCCCGTCCTCATTTCCTTCCTCATTTTCCGAGCTCATTTGGTTGTCCCCATTTTTTTTTTCAAGAAATTATGGTTAAAAATAAAATAGTATACAACCCTCGACGGGAAACTTCATTGCTGTCTCGAGGTTCAGGTTATCTCGACGCTACACTATATAACCTCTCGACCAGCAATGAAGCATTTCCCGTCTCGGATTGTAATATACTATTACTCCGCCGGAGTATAACATTAATACGCCCTTGCGCATGTTTTTCCATAGCGATTTAAGGTAGTTTTCACCTGTACATACAGGTATAGGTGCTTATGAAGGTGATCCTTCTAAATATGAATGTCATAATTTAAACTAAAAATTCTGCACTATTCGGAATAAAGATTGTTTGAGAATAAAATATTGTATTTCATTTGGAGTATCAGTATCATCTTCATCTGACTTGCATGGATTTGATTCCATGCGCGTCACATAAGTATTACTTATACTCCTTATAAAATAAATATCTATTATTTTAAATCAAATACAAAATAAAATACAATTTTCAATAAGTACACATTGTTGAAATAAACATTAAGCGCAGGAGCTTCATTTCTGTTGCTTGTTAGCGCTGTTTTTTTTTTGTCACATCTTGCTAATTGTCACTTTTTGGAGTTTTCAGTCACTTTTTGGGTTTTTTAGTCACTTTCGGGTGTATTTTCACATTTCTTGAATTTTTCACAATCTGGTTTAACTTGAGGTTCATTCATACTTTATTTTTAAATATAATCCTACTTATGTAACTTATAAAAATTTATGTTATTTCTTATTCAAACAATTTATGTATTATGTTTCTATTATTTTGTTACATCCATTGTTTAGTTTTATTTCTAATTTATTTTTCATATATGATGTCTTTCAGTTGTTTAGGCAATAGGCAATACATTATAGAATCTCGGAGCCAAAAAATGTATTGACATGTATGACCTTTTTGTTTTCGACTCATTGGGGCCACCACGCAATTTTTCTGAAATCTGGTATTCTTTTCATGGCTTACAGATTGAAGATTTATAATTTTTTTTTTATTGATAACCTCTTTCACTTATTTAAAGTACTCCTCAGCGTGTTTAAATCCAACATTCAAAAACGCGCGTGTTTTAAAGTTACCAATGACAACATTAACAACCAACAACCCGAGAAAGGTCTAAATGTCAACTTTTTAATTAATATCCACTTATACTTTAATATACTATTGTTTATTTATAAACATTGATAGATTTAAAAAATGGAGTTGTCGTATGTCGAATATTTTTGCCTCCCTGAAAAATTGTTTACTAGGAATGTGTTTGTTTTTACTAAATATTATTTTTTATTTACCATTTTTGAATAACGTTTAATTTTTTCAAGTGACACTCATCAACGCACTTCCCCAACCCACGAGTCCATAACTTAATTGCGACTGAACCAGTGCAAAATAAATTGTTATCATTTGCTCTACTTCAAGATAGTCTTTTAGATGGTAGAAACGTGGAATCAGATATCTCGTTTTAGAAAGGATATTATTTACTTGTTTGTCCCACCGTAAATGTTGATCTATTATTATTCCAAGGTATTTGATATTGTCCACTCTTGATATGAAAATATTTTGATTTTTGGCCCACATTTAAAAAATCATATTCGGGTATGTTAGAGTTATACGAGAAAGATGAAATAAATTGGTTTCTAACCTACGTTGTGGAAACTTACTCAATTTTACTTACTGAACATGCGTCCGACATAGAAAAATTAAGGGAATTTAAGGGAAGTTGTGATATAAAAAATAAACGAAAAATTTGTGAAACTTCTACTTTATTATTAAAGTGAATCGTACCGTTCTCGACCTGGAATTCTCGAGGGGAAAGAAAACGAAAGAGAAACCCTCAATCTCAATCCTCAAAAATCAAAACATTCTGTGTCATTTTTAATGATAATTGTGAGTCAATTATTCAATAAAAGTTGAAATTAAGTACCGTCTCTGTCCGTGTGCCAAAATTTTAATTCCACATACAACATTCGATCAACACTACCTATGTTCAATACTGAAGAGTTTTTGGTTAGTTAGCCGTTCTGCCAGCAGGTACTGAGGTCCCATACGGGATGCTACCCAGCTATCCTTGTTATTTTGAGCCAATATCTTTTTCCTTTATTTGGTAGGATATTCGCTCGTCAGAGTAGGAAAATGTTAGTATATTCAACAAGGCCCTAATGTACGCTCTGAATCCAAAAATCAAAATCTCAGCACAAAAGACAGCACATAATTTTTCTAGGTTTTAATTTTTTTATCTGAGTTGTTTACAGCATGAAACGATTTTTCTTATATACCTACTTGAACAATGCTCATGTTATAAACAAACAAAAAAAAACATAAAAATGAAAAAAAATAATACTTGTATAAATTGAACTCTCAAAAACAAAATAACAATTATTCAACTGACCTGTGAATGCTCCTTTTGACACACAAACTAATCACAAATTGGATTGTACAATCAGTTTAATACAAAATAAAAATAAGAAATTGAATAATGAACAATGGCAGACAAGCGTCTTAAGGGACAAGCCCAGCTTCTTCTCTAGTCCGCGCGGCGTCCTCGTTCTCCTCTAAACCTAAACTTCACGGCGCATTACATGGTTACTTTTATTCAGTAAACGTTTTTTAAAAACTTAAGATTTGAAGAAATAATATTTTAAATAGGTGGTTTTCCACAGTACACAACAGATCTCATATTTGAACTAAACTCAAACTTTATACTACACGCTATTTATAGTCGGATCAATCTAAAAAAATATGTTTATCGAATATGATAGATTTCCCAGGAAAGGCGCCCTCCTAGGCTTAAACAATTAATAAAAGGTAGGCATATTTCAGCTCATTTGGACTTTACTTGTAAATTTTTAAATCAAAAGCCAACGTTTTGATGCCTGCCGCATCATTCTCAAGGCCAAATTACTCCAGATTAAAAACAATCCATTTTTCACAATATGGGAAATAGACGTTCCTGTGGTACTCGCGCCGTGATGTTTCGGTACTCTCGAGTAATCTGACCTCTTGAGAATGATGCGGAAGGCATCGAAACGTTGGCTTTTGATTTAAATATTTACAAATAAAGTCCAAATAAGCTGAAAACTGTCTGCCTTTTATTTAAAATATTTCTAGACGGAAACCACTCTACCTACACTTCAATTTGCACTTGATTACATCGACAATTGAACACTAGTTAATTTGAGTAATTTTCTACCTAAATTACACTTGTGCATCAAAATAATTAGATAATTTTGCATTCAAGCATATCGCCTTTTGAAAACTACATTCGGTCATTTTTATATTTCGTTGGAAGAGCCATTCTCCAAAATTTTAAAATGAATTTTTGCAGTTTTTAAGCTTTCAACTTTTCAAGCAAAATAATCGATGTGCAGTTATACAATTATCTCCGAAAATTCTATCACTTGTAGCATGTAGCAGCGACTTCACTTTTATTCATACCGACCATTTTTCCTTAGGAGATAAATTAAGTGAAAAAATTTGGCCGTCTATAAGAGACTTATTCGCTCCTTGGCTTATTCCATATTCAATGCACAATTTGAAAGAAAATATGGCCACCTGGATACAGCAACTGGCTGATGATAGACCCGTTTTATTACCATGGATTCCGTCTGATAAGGAATCAGCTGAGAAAATGATCAGGATCTTTTGTGAGTGTATCGACTTTATTTTAGACACTTTGCCAGGTAAGTTTTATAACAATTTTTAAGTTTTTTATACTAATATTTTATGTTTAGCTTCCTTCATTATACTCAATTACATTTGGCGATGGTATGTGGTTTCTTTTGGACATCCATCAATTAGAGACCATATTTTGATACCAATTCATTGTGCCTTTACCATGTTGCCATGGAATAATTTTTGGCCTTCTATGGTGGATTTAGAATTTATGATACGTGTAAGTAAGCAAATAATTATACAAATAAAAGTTTTATGGAACATAATTTTCAGGTGGTTGATCAATATTTACCAGAATGCCACTCATTCTTAGGTCACATTTTTATATCGATACCTTGGCTGAAATGGATTAATAGTTTCGCAGATGCTCCACAGCAAATTAAGGCCAAAGTTCACCATTGTTTTCTAAGTCTATTGGTCAAGCTATCAATCGAACCAAATATAAGAAAAACCCATAAAGAAAAAACAAGATCTCTATTAATTCAAGCTGAAAATTTCGATTGGTCCATACTCGAACCTCCTGTGTTTCAACACATCATGGATTGGGTTTTGATGTCTTGCGATTGTACGGTTATTTTCAAAAGTGACGTATTAGATTTGGATTATCGATTGATGAGGTAAGAATTATGATGTTGTACAATCTAGTTATAGTTTGCCGCGGGTCCATATTTTCTTGAAATTGGAAAGTGTATAAACAAAGCGCACTCCCCCTTCAGCCTGGAATACCTTTTATACCTTCCTGCATTTGAACCATTAGATTCGGTACAATAACACCTCTACCAGTATATCTTGGATATCTTCTTTCGAAATACTAAGACCAATCTCAGGGGACAATAACACGTTTATCCTATTTTTAACAGTCTTGTCAGTGCGAAAATCGCCTGCTTTTGTACATCAATAATGATAATTAACAACTATTTTTCTTTAGACTACTAAAAGTTGCTTCAGGATACAACGAAGTGTGGCCTTTTATACCACCTGATTTAACAATGAAAAGGCAAATATACGTTAAGACGCATATAAAATTGTTGTCCGCTTTTATAAGCAAAAATAGGAATTTACAAAATACTTCTGAGGCTGAGCTATGCAAAGTTTTAAACGGTAAGTGCATATTGATTTTTATTAAATTTGATCATACTGTTAACAATGTTAAAAATTGGAACTTTTTCAGGATACTTAACCGAACTAGAAACTGTCGTTACGACAACTGCTGAAATGGAAATAATCCTAAAAGAAGTCTGTGCAGTTGTAAATATTGCTGAAATATCATTGATAAGCTTAAAAGTTTTTACAAGATGGATTAACAGCAAACCTTATGGTTTGGTCATAAAAACTTTACTTAGGACGCTTGGAACTTCTGTTATCGACTATAAATATTTGGCTGTGTTATATGAAGTGACTTTAACTAGTTATTTCAATAATAGTGGTAAATATTTAATTCTTACTGGAAATCTCATCTATTTATATCAATATTTCTTAAGTTATTGAAAGTAACTTAGATGAACCCTCGTGGAAAAAAGCAAGGGATTTGATTTGTGTAAGTGCATCAAGACCAATAGATTTTGAACAGGTTTTGATAGACGACGGCTCTATTTTGACTCTCAACGCGCTACTTCTACAAAGAGTCAAAAAAAATACTGACACGGAGAATTTATTGAATTATGCAATTGGGTATATGGAGAAAATTAAAATGAGGTATGATTTTGTTTTTGATGAGAATATCCCTTGTACTTACAATTTCCAGTGGAAATTTGCCACACACAATCGGTATTTTCATGTAAAAATGTGTGAATTTGATGATTTTTTGTAAAGTTTTATCTCAAATTACTATTAGTAAATTTAAATCATATCAAAATCACATCAATTCTTACTACTGAAAATATAATTATTATGTATAAGTAGAGAGATCCGGATCCGGTAATTAAATTATAAAATGTTTCCTAATGTTTCTTCCGGATATTCAGCCATATGCGCCATTCTCAATGAAAATATTATCGGTGCAGGTATAATAAAATTGCTAAGTTTGCATTTCTTTTTAGGGAATCGATAGAATCCAAAGTCCCTTTGCTGTGGTTCAGTATAATAAAGTTGGCTTTGTGCCATTGTGAAAAAGACGAAGCTGTTGCGAGTTCTTTATTGTACAAATTTTCCCAAATACTTTTGCAAATTTCAGAAGAATCCGGATCTGCGAAATGGGGTAGAGGCCTTTTGAGTGCCATCGGCTTGACCAAGTCGGAAAGTGTGACCATAAAGTAAGTACATAATTGTCATATAAGTTGAAAATACATTATTTCTTTTTAGTTTTAGGTTTATATCACGTGCAATGGCCGGATACATTCTAGCTCAGTTGCCCGAAATGAAAGGCTCACAGCGAAAAGTTAGGATTGCCGCAAATGCTCCATGTGTGGTTGGTATGCCTGGCGGTAATTGCGAATGTCCGAAAGTTTTGCTCGAGTTGGACTTTCGACAATCCCAAGGGAAAATCAAAGATTGTGCTGTGATTGCGTTAACTAATGTGAGACAACCTATTTTTTATCAATTTATTTTTTTAAATGCTATCGGTTTTAGATTCAAGATCCTTCTAATTCTTTACATAACGCCCACACCTTCTTGTGGATGTTATTGAAGCAATTTTATATCAAGCCTTACCTAAAGGAGGGATAACGCAAATGCCTATTTTATATTCTATCAATATATTACTTATTAAACAAATATTGTTGACTATTGAATATTCTTATTGTTTATTAGTTTAGTGATAAAAATATGATGAAAAGGTTTTTTTTTACAAATTTTCTTTATGAAATACATAGGTAATTGGAATAGGTTCCCTTTTTTTTTATAATACATATTGTGTATCATTTCATTTATATTTTCTCAAAAAATAAAAGTATAAAATTTGGAAGTTTATTGTAGAGACCCTTCCCTAACAACTTCCCTGAGACATTTATTTGAATTACAGGAATTATGAGAAACTCACGAAAGTGTAGCAAAATTTAAAGATTCAGAATTATAAATCTAACGTTTGTAGTGTATTTGAATCTTTCATGAAATAGTTATTTGTGCAACCAGTTGGGAAAAGCACTATTTTTCGTAACGAGCAGATTTCTGCGGAACGAGCGAAGCGAGTTCCGCAAAAGGAAGCGAGTTACGAAAAATAATTTTTCCCAACGTGTTTCACACAATATTTTTTCTAATTTTGTATATTAATAATAATAATAATAACAGAACTTTATTTATACTGCACAAATAACAGATTTCCACATCCTTAAAAAAAGTACAGTTTAATAAACCTATTGTAGCATACAAATACATACTACAAACAATGACTTAAGCATATAATAAATTATTACAAAAAATCATTATAAAAAATCACAAAACAAATTTAAAAATAGTTATTTATACACCAAGTGAGTTAAATGAATGTTTATTCATGAGAAGAAAGTTTAACCCACGAGCTCTAGTGAGTGGGTTAATTTTCTTCGAATGAATAAACATTTTAACTCACGTGATGTATACAAAATTTTATTCCATTTTGATCGACATTTGAAAAATAAAGTACTTAATAGGAATCAAATTATAAAAAGAATTCACTTAACGAGCGCATATCTAATATTGCAACTGGTAGTTACTATGGCATAACTAGTTGTTTGTTTGTATTTGTAGCAGATTTTTATACTAGCAGAGTGACTTAAAGACCAAGAGTGAGTTAAAAATATTTTAAGTCACTCAGGTGATAAACGTCTACTTACCTTTGTTATTATGCGTTCAATAATGTCATTTTTAAACGTCAAAATGGGATAAAATAATAAAATGTATCACAAAAAAAATATCATCAAAAATTATTATAAAATTCCCCATAAAGTTGAGTCTCTGTACTAAAGAATATATCAATATCACTATTATCTAATACAAATTGATTGATACTCTTCAGACATCTATTTAAAGGAGTAGACAAATTAGGTACCTTAAAAAGAATGCTTCTTTGCCTAAACCTTACAGGTACATTGAAGTTTATATATGGTAACAACTCAGGTAAAGTCCAACAAATACCATTTTAAAGTCACGTGATTTTTCTCTATCCTTGTTGAATACATCACAAACAGCGGTGATAGTAAAATTGACAAAAAAATTGCTGTCTAATTATTGTTCATAATATTCTTACCTGGAATAGAATCCGTCACTGTCATCAATTAGTTTGTCAAAGTTATTTTCGAAAATAATACAACGAGCAAACACAGCTAATAATTTTGACTATATTAACCTTTTTCCAACTGGAAAAGAAGCAAATAGAAAACGGGTACCCAGTTTAAGTTCAGAATGTATTACAACAGACAGCAGATGCGACAAAAGTGAGTCTCGCAACAATTGCAAGTATTAAAATTCTCATCTGATTGGTCAATACTACTTCAGAAACGTGTTTGTAAAATGCTAGTGGGAACATATATTAAAATTCAATAGTAATTACCCACCATTAGCTTTTTGTAGGTGATATCAACGGCATAATCAATGGACATACGTTTTTTGCCACCAGTATCACGTGACTTTAAAATGGTATTTGTCGGACTATACATCTATATTGTTATTTAGAATATTGTAGATCAAAAATTATTTCGAGGGTTCCTAGCAACTCGTTAATATGTCGAAAAATGGCCAACCACATATTTCATGTCACGTTATAACTTTGAAGCTGGAACTTTAATCAGTTTATATACATGTTTATAAAGTGAATGGAGCGAATGTAATTTTTACACGGATATTTATGTATTAAGAAAGCAACAGAGTAAGTACAGAATAATATATTTGCTAGATTTCTAGTTACAGATTTTTTTTAATCAATTTAGCATGTTCCTAACAAGGCCATCATACGAAAAATGTTCAATTGGCCTCACATGTGTTTTTTCCTGCGATTGACAAGAAATGTCAGCAGTTTTGACCGGTTGACAGGTCGCAAAACTCAATATTCTGGTATTTTAATTATGTTTCAATAGTTGCTAAGACATCAATGAATAACAATACCGGAATCACTTTTCCGGCCTAGGCCAGGAAAGTGATTCTCGTACTGCTGAACAATTGAAACAAAAAAACAAACATTTAACAGAAATTTAACCGATCGCAGAAATAATAGTACCTATGTGCCTTTCGGTGGAAAAGCACATTCTCGGCCTTCGGTGTTTGCCGGACTCGGCTTCGCCTCGCCCGTCAACTTACACCGTCGGCCGAGAATGTGTCACTTTTCCACCTAAATACACAATATACTATTTCGAAAGAATGTATCATATTATTAGGCCTGGAGTCTAACCAAGCAAGAGATGTTTCAGTTCATTTGTCCTAGTTATATGCAGACCTATTTCGATCACTATCCCATGACTTGGAATTATTGTTTTTTTTAGGAATGCAGCTAACGTATAAGTTCTATTTTGTGTACTATTTCTCGAATAATAATATTTTTCTAAATAATTGTATTTATTTTAAACATTTTTTAATGGTGGCCTTATTAGGAGCATAGTGATCCAAATAAGGTCAATGGTAAGCGTCTTTGTTTTACGCAAAAACGACCACTTATATATAAAAAAAAGAAATTGGAGTCAATATTCAAGTAAATAGAACCGAAACACTTCACTAGTGGCGTAGCCAAACCAAACGTGGACGTCGGCGACATCCTAATTGCGAGGCCCTTTTTATGTAGGGTGGCTACATGTCTTGTAACAAAAAGTACCTATCACGCCACTTTTTCCGGACATATCAACGGTATTCGATAACAATATAGGGTTATCAGGTTTGACTACAAAAGTTTTAACTCGTGAAAATATGGCCCATGTTGAACAAAAAATGTTCTCACTACATGGGGTCCAAACTCAACCATTTTTAAGAAAACTGCCTTTGAAGTTTTGACATTTTTTGATGAATATTTGAAAGATAAAGAAAATTCTAATCATTATGAGATGTAAAAAAATTTAGTTCATTCAATTATTAGGTGATTATGCTAGTCAACAACAATAGTAAAAAACTGAAAAAAAAAAATTCCACTCGAAATCGGTATCTAAGTAGGTAAACATCTGGCAACATAGCACAACACACACACTTCATTTGTCTTATGTCAGTTAGTTGAAGTATTGAAAATCCACGTAATCGTTCTTTTTTGAAAATAAAATGTTTACAAACGTCGAATATAATATGCAGATTCTTGTTTAGGCCAAATCATTGCAAAATGCCCATTTAGTCGCCAGAATGAAACATTTTCTAATAGGACGGCACCCACCTGATGAAAGAACATTGTGCCAGTTTTACAAATATTGCGTGATACGGGAAGTGTGAGTGTGCAAAATTGCGTGTTGATTCGAGTGTTTTGAGAATTTTGAGAACCTTTTAACAAAAATTAATATTTTCATAATGAGTAGCTGAGTAAATATGAATTAATTTTTCTCTTCACAACTTAATAAAACGGCACATTTTCTATTTTTATTAGAAAAGTGATAATAATGCAAGTTATTATTTACATTATTTGGAAGCCAATAAGAAACCAAAACGTAAACAGATGGAAATAAAAACATAAAACTTTAAATTTACCAGTTTTATTTACATTTATAGCCTGGGTCCGATTCTCGTCTCAGGAAGTAGAGCTCGCCGATAAAACGAATTTTTTGTCCTTGTCAACGTAATAGAAAAAAAAAATCACTAAGCCCGCATACGGCGCCATCTCTTATAACCGATACCAAGTTTACTGCCACATTTTCATTGCGCACCATTTTGTATACCGCGCCATCTCTGATACCTAGAACGAAGCTCGCCATTGCGCGGTAATTTCATTGCAGATACAGTAGAACAATGCTGCTCAGGTACTGGAGCTATTCCGAACAGAACTATTCCACTATTCCGATCAGACAGAGTGGCGCAGAAAGAGTAGATCAGATAGAATAGTGCAGATAGAGTAGAACAGATGGAGTAGTACAGTGTATGCAGTGCAGATAGAGTGAAACAGAGCTGCGCTGGAGATTTTTTTTGTTTTATTCACATTCTTCGAACATTTCTGTGCCTGAGTTTATTTATTTGGTGGTACACTATACAAGAATAATGCCTACAAGCTGCCTAAAAAGGGATGATTTACTGACTTCTGATCCAGAGAGTAAACATTATTTTTCTTCAACCAAAGCCAAATTCACCATCGAAAAAAACTGAATTTAATTCAGCTTATATAGATACGTTAATGCAACATTTAATGGGTATTTATTATTTTAGAGGCGGTACGAAGTTCGCCGGGTTAGCTAGTATTCCATAAATGTGATATTTTAATTTCTAGCATGGACAGGGTGGTCCAATTTGAACTATTTTATTAGGAAAAGCTTTATAAATTTTTGATTTATGAAAATAATTGATTTCCGTAAAAACTTTCTTAAAGTTTTTTTTCAAGCAAAATCCAGTTGCATTCTCAGTTTTTTTGGTATTTCGCCAGGATTTCGGGATATTGACCAGAGTTCGATATTTCCAAATAGAGCACCCTATATTTTAATAACTCATTGCATGTTTCTGCTAATTTCAATAATATAAAGTTCGATAGTTTCTGAGAATAGAATTAAAATCTATGTTTGTCATGAGAACCTTTATTAGAAGACTCTATAACTGTAAGGAAAATGAGAAAGGTGCGTCTTCCTAACACAGTGTTTCTTATGCCAAAAAGATTTTTTTTTTTCTCCAAAACTGTTAGCGATTAACCTATGGAACTTTACATCATTGAAATCAGCAAAAGCAGAGCTATCTAATGAATCGTTGGAATATAGGGTGTTCTATTTAAAAAAATCGGACTTTGGCCAATATCTCGAAATTCTGGCGAAGTAACAAAAAACTGAGAATCACCGGACTCTGCTCAGAATACTTAGTACTTTTGAAAAGTTTTTACAGAAA